GGTTATGTGATTTGTAATCCATTTACCTTAAACAGTTTTAACTATATATGTATTATGGAATTTTATTTACTTTATATTCAAAAGAGCAAATTTAAATTGGAAAACACGTCGTCCACATTCACAGCAAAAAGATGATGTTCGTGCTGATGGAAAATTTTATTGATAAGTTACGAGTTACAGTTAACTTGCAGGCGGGTGAGTTGCAGTAGACCTAACAGTACTTGGTGCAGTCACCTCGATTGGCAGGCTTTACATCACGAGTTCACAATGCAACAGGATGCAGACGAGAGATGCTAGCCCATTCTCTTCGTCGGCAATGCCGCGGTGAGCGCATTGATATGGCACGAAATAGAAATTATGCGCATAATCCGCTTAGAGCATCGTTTCTCTTTTCTTTTCGGAATAATCCGAAGCAACGCGTCTCAACATTCATTTTATATTTTTCATAAATTACAAAAAACTGTGAAATATAAAGAAAGAAATTCAAGGGCATTTTCTCTCTCAGCTATATAAAACTCACCTATACCTACTCCCAATATGAAGATGAACGTTTTTCTTCGCGTCATTTCTGACTTGTTAGGTCTCCCCGCTCGATCTGAAAGCAGAATATTTTTTTTATAAAACTGTTTGTTGCAATAAAAAAATAAAACTTGCAGATAAATAGAAATTAGCCATGGCACATAGTTACTTTATATTTACAAAAAAAATATTAGTTTTATTAAAATATAAAAATATGAAATGTTTTTTAACATTTTTTTACAATAAGCGCGAAGAAAAATTGTAAAGAAAGGTCGTATGTAAATATTTTACATTAATAGCAGTACGCTCGTCGATTGGAATTTAAGAAAAATCGATCAAGAGAAACGGATACAGCTCGTTACGTCGCCCAGGCACAATTTTCAACATTGTGAGAGTAGCCTCGTTTATGAGCCTGTTCACCTTAGGGAGTATAACATAAAACTCCAGTCCGCAATGCAGCGCGGGAGCTTTATTAAAAGTTTTCATCTTGCGTTAGGAACGTTGTTCCAAAATATAGTACAGTCGGTCAAGGATGATCGGAGGTGATAGATTTGTGAGCAAGTTTCTTCTTGTTTACCGAAATATGTGTTAAAACAATTTAGTACCATCCAAATTTAATTTAGTAAAAGGAAAAACAATATAATTCCACATACATTATATTAATTAGTTAAATTAATTAATTAATTTTTATACTGCAAACTTTCAATTCGATAGTGTAAATGAAACGAAGTCGTGCTAATATTCGATCGCAATTATTCTATTTCCATAATATGTAGGTTGATACATTCCGCTATTAAACGCCTCGTTTGCCGCACGAATGCGTCTGCCGGTAGCGTGCGGGTATCGTTCACTCTAAACGCCTGTAACTTTAATTGTAGAAAGTAATCGTAGAAAGTACAATTATCTATTGCCAATGTGTTTAAAAGCTATCCCAGCTAAATCGAAATATCAATTCTTTAATCGATCGTGACGTATCGCTCATGCCTCATCAGAACTCGTATCACGTAAAAGTCTGTTTTATTTTAGATGCAACCTTGGTATTATTTATAATTTCCATATCATATAACCAACCAAATCAACAAGTTAAATATCAAAAACAAATTTGAAACTCAAACATTTAAAGCTCTCTTTGAATTTATTAGATAAAATTCAAACATTTGAAAAGTTTGGGAGGAGTCTTCAATGTAATCTCCATTTTCTTTATCTATTATATTCTGCAACAATTATAAAATTTAAAATTTTACGTTAATTTAAAATTATGAAAAAAGTGACATAAAAATTCCTTTTTAGCTTCAGTTCAACTATCAAAATTACTCGAATAAATATAACGACAGCTTCCTCTGTTAGCCTCGTGCTCTCCTTTATCGTCCTTATTTCAGGACATGTCGTACTAAGCTCTGCTACTGCGTTTTCCTTATTAGTTCGGCTCCCAAGAGAGCGTGTCCAAAGTATCTATTAAATCCCGTAGATAAGTTCATGGTACTATGTCGAAAGATCGCATAAGCGACGCTTCATAAAGCGGCGCCGACAATCGGAAGTCGTAATTCCACTGCACGGGTGAAGATATAATGTAAATCCGGTATCGTAATGAGGTCTATCTACCGCGGTGCTCACGGAATTAACGGCGTGTGATTGGAGAATCTGTTCCTATCACAATTACATCCAGCAAATTTACTTTATAATACTATAAAATATTTTATAACAACGATGAATTGTTAATGTAATAAAAAATATAATAAAGCGATATAGATAGATTAAGATCGAGATTATTGTGCATTCGCGCAAACATTTTCGTATTTTGACAATAAGTGTATGTATAACTACAATTAATCGCTACATCTTATCTTCATAATTTGTAAGAAAAGAAATCACGAAAAATTATTCAATTTTATTCCTTTTAGTATATGAACATTTGACAAAAAGCTATAGCGAAAAATCAATTTATGTAAAATATCAATTTCAATCAAAATATTAAATCTTTAAATAAATATACGTTGTAATAATAAACGTTGGATTTTTATATCTGCCATAACATCATACCATAACTCATAATCAAATTCAATACGTAAATAGAATATTTGAAATCAAGTTTATTTTATAACGCATTAAATCGATACTTGTATTGTCGCTTTATTTCTCAAGACACTATTGCGAAATGTTGAGAAGTGTAAAAAGATACTAATATTTTATTAATATTTTAATATAGTACTAAATATTTTACTTAAATATTATTTAATAATTATAATAAGTGATCGTTATTTCACATAAATAAAAGTTTGAAAACATAAAGATATGCAAGATTATTTGTCAAAATGTATAAATATATCGCCCATATTAGTCAAGTACGGAAAAAAATTAGCCTTAATCGAGACAGATATTTTCATATATAAGCAAGACTATTATTATCTTCTTAGAACAATTTTAGTCTTTATTTGATTGAATTCATATTAATGCAAGTATAAATATTCTAAATAAATAAGAGTAATAAGTAAGAGTATTATAACCTTCATATAAGAGATCTTTAATCGTGAGTTGAGCAAAAGTGATATATTTGCATCAATACAAATTCAATCAAGACTAAAATTTTTTAAGAAAATTATAATATTCTTGTTTATATATAAGAATATTCGATTTGATTTAAGACTAATTTTTTTTTCTATATAAAAATCTTCTATATATAAAAAAATCTTCTATACATATATAAAAAATAAAATAAAAAATAAAGAATAAAAATAATAAATCATTGTTTTGCAATAATTGTTTTTTCAATGATGTTTTGTATACATATTTTAAATTTTCTTTTAATTTTTAAATAAAATTTTTTGTTACCATTTTGAGATTGTGTGAGAATGTAGAATAATAGATACATGTGAAATCAATTCAAGTAGCTGAAAACTATTATTTATATTCATTTATTAATTATTAATAAATGGGATCATTAATAATTTATTAAAAATAATAATTATAATTTCAAATTTATTTGTTTTATATTATTCTGCAACAATGTTTTTTTTATATATCGAATGTATTAAACGTCCATTTTCATACATTAAGTGTATTAAATATTTGTTGATATTAATAACATTTACATGTTACATGAAATTAATAGAACGTAATATAACACATAATAATAACACAACGTAATAATAACACAAAAGTATACGTAATAATAACACAAAATTATAAATTAATGCATTTCATAAATCAGTTTTTATTATTTCAAAATTTGTTTTCGCTTTTATTAGATTTATTAATAAATCTGAAAAGTTGTTATCTAAAATTTACGTTCATTCTTAATATTTCTATGTGATATAAAAATTATTAAAAATGTAAAAATAGATATGATGATGAGCTAATTATATATAAACTATATACTAACAGAATTTGGAATTTGAACAAAGTATACAATTTTGTGATATAACAGTATCACAAGTCGATAAAATAAATAATTCAAAAATTTGAAATTATAGACGTCTATCGATTATAGACATTTGAATTTGCGAATTCTATACCGTTTACTCTGTACTTAATTTTGTAATTTTTATATTACATTAATTATTCGTTAAGTGAATTTTAAAATTTTACTACAAATTAATATTTGTAAAAAGCGTAAACTCATTTCTCTTTCTACATTCTTCGCTTTCGAGAATGTAGAAAGAATAATAAAACTATCAAATAAAAAATGATAAAACTATCATTCAGACGATGCAATCGTTGTCTGAATGATAATTTTATCATTTTTCTTCTTATTGATATTAGCCAGAAGATATTTGATCCGTAATAAGAATGTTTGAATCATAACAAGAATGCTTGATCCACTGACAAGAAATTGAAACAATCTTTATCATAGAGAATTACCTTTAATAATTTTTTAGGGCCCTTTCATGATATCTAATTCTATGCTATTTGAAAGATAAAAAATGTTATTACGAGCATAGAATTTCTTCCACCGCCTCTTCTTGACATTTCCAAAAATAATGATCTAAACATGGCGAGTATCATTATATGATTTTTTAATATATTTTCTTATGCAAATTAAAAACTCCTTTTTTATTTGACTGACCTAGATCGGGAATTTTTTTCAATATTACAAATATTAGTGAATAAATTTATTAACAATTCTTTTAGTTATAGTTATCTATATTGCATATGAAACTTAATAGTTAATAGTAAACTTAATAGTTAATAGTAAATTACATGATTAATAATTATTTATTAAATACTTATTATAGAGTCATATATCTGGCGTAAAAATCATATTTTAAATTATTATATGTATTTTGAATTCTCGTTATTTTATATTAAAACAAGATCTCTCGAATTATTTATTTATAATATATAATATAATATATAATAAAAAATCTATTACATATTGATATTATAAATTTATTTCATGTAATTCTGTTTCAAATTACATTATATTTTGAAATTATATATTATTATATTATTATTATTTATTATAACATAGTCTAAATAAAAAATAATAAATGAAAAAAATAAAACATTTATAAAAAGTAGAAAAAAAAGAACTGCCGATTATAGAAATGCCGATGATTTAATGTTGACTTATTTTTATTGAGTAAGACTTTATCTTAATAAAATTAAAATGTAATTCAATTTCAAAAATTTGATAAAAACTTAGCTTAAAGTTAAGATAAATTTAATTTCAAGAAAACAAAAGTATTTGTATAAAGAGATAAAACTGTTTATACATTTTTGTGATGATTATCACCAGGATGAAGTTAAATCATATATCAGCAGGCGTACTGCCTTGAGGCTGTAAGAAATAAGGCTCTGTAAAAGAACGCAAAAGAGATTGAAATCTCCCGGAGAATTAGCAAAGGATGCCGTCTTATTCCGCTCGCAAAGGAAAAGATGTTCTTTGATGGAAAAGTATAGAAAAATATGTCTTCTCCTTATTCGCAAGACGAGATACATAAAATATTCCACTTTGTGCTTATATCTTAAAACAACCGAGATAACGATATTTCGCACGGTGCATAGGAATAAATTCAACGCCAGAGGCAGGAGATGAATGGAGAATTCAGGAACATCTCTTCTCAATTAATTAGCATG